AGAGACACAGCGAGAGGGAAAACAAGCAGGGGGAGTGGGAGAGAGAGAAGCAGGCTTCCTGCTGAACAGGGAGCCCGATGTGGGGCTCGATCCTAGGATCGATACTTCTTGGGGCACCTGGGCCTTCAGTCAGTTAAGCGACTGACTCTTGGTTTCGGCTCAGGTCATGATCTCAGGGTCGTGAGATGGAGCTCTGTGTCAGGCTCTGTGCTCAGAGCAGAGTCTGCTTAAGATTCTCTTTCTGGGGCGCCTGGGTGGCTCAGTCGTTAAGCGTCTGCCTTCGGCTCAGGTCATGATCCCAGAGTCCTGGGATCGAGCCCCCCGCATCAGGCTCCCTGCTCCGCGGGAGGCCTGCTTCTCCCTCTCCCCTTCCCCCTGCTTGTGTTCTCTCTCTCGCTATCTCTCTCTCTCTCAAATAAATAAATAAAATCTTTAAAAAAATGAGTTAGAAAGGGAATATGAAATAACATAACTTGAATTACCAACAACTTGTTGCCCAACATTAAGGAATGGTTTAAAAATGTTAGTTCATCATGGGGCACCTAGGTCGCTCAGTCAGTTAAGCATCTGACTCTCGATTTTGGCTCAGGTCATGATCTCTGGGTCGTGAGGCTCCATGCTCAGTGTGGAGTCTGGTTGAGATTCTGCCTGTCCCGCTGCCTCTGCCCCTCCCCGCACTCGCTCACGTGCTCCCACAGGCGCGTGCACGCGCGCACGCACACACACTCTCTCAAAATAAGTTAAAAAATCAGGGGCACCTGGGTGGGTCAATCGGTTAAGTGGCTGCCTTCGGCTCAGGTCATGATTTCAGGGTCCTGGGATGAGCCCCAGATTGGGCTCCTTGCTCAGCAGAGAGCCTGCTTCTCCTTCTCCCTCTGCCTGCCACTCCTCCTGCTTGTGCTCTCTCTCTCACTCTCTCTGTGTCAAATAAATAAAATCTTTAAAAAATTAATTAAAAAATCTTTTTATAAAAAAGTTAGTTCATTAATGAAATGAAGCCATTATAAGGATAATTATTGGGGTGCCTGGCTCAGTCTGTTAGTCTGTAGAGCATGGAACTCTTTTTTTTTTTTTTTCCCTTAGCATGCAATTCTTGATCTCAGGTCATGAGTTCAAGCCCCACATTGGGCATAGAGCTTACTTTAAAAAGAAAAAAAAGGATGGGGCGCCTGGGTGGCTCAGTGAGTTGAGCCTCTGGCTCTGATTTGATCTCAAGTCATGAGTTCAAGCCCCACATTGGGCATAGAGCTTACTTTAAAAAGAAAAAAAAGGATGGGGCGCCTGGGTGGCTCAGTGAGTTGAGCCTCTGGCTCTGATTTGAGCTCAGGTCATGATCTCCGGTCATGAAATCAAGCTCCCTGTTGGGCTTACGCTCAGCTTGGAGTTGTTTGAGGTTCTCTCTTTCCCTCTGCCCCTCTCCCCACTTTTGTGCACAATTGCATGGTCTCTCTCTCTCTAAAATAAATAAATCTTTTTTTAAAGGATAATTATTAAGATCTGTAAAATGATTAATTGCTCATGATGCATTTTGACATGAAAAGTTATGATATGTTAAAAATGATTTTCAGTGAGTTCTTTATTTTTTTTTTTAAAGATTTTATTTACCCATTTGAGAGAGAGAGTGCATGGGGGAAGGGGCAGAGGGAAAGGGGGAGAGAGAGAATCTCAAGCAGGCTCCACACCCAGTGTGGAGCCCTATATGGAGCTCAATCTCACAACCCTGAGATCATGACCTGAGCCAAAACCAAGAGCTGGTCGCTTAACGGACTGAGCCACCAGGCACCTCTCTTTATTTTTTTTTATAAAGCTGCTTAAATTTACTTTGTTTTAACCAGTTATTATACCCAAAAACTTGACAGTAAAAACTTTGACCCTTAAATGGATTAAAAGTAGATTATAGAATTTTTTTTTTTTTATAATTTTTGCGATCTGAAGAGAAACCAGCAAAATAGATTCTAGGGGTACCTGCATGGCTCAGTCAGTTAAGCATCTGACTTTGGCACAGGTCATGATCTCAGGGTCCTGGGATTGAGCCCCGCATCGTGCTCCCGGCTCAGCAGGGAGTCTGCTTGTCCCTTTTCCTCTGCCCCTCCTCCCATTCATGCTCTTTCTCTCTCAAATAAATAAAGAAAATATTTTTTAAAAATAGATTCTGGGGATGCCTGGGTGTCTCAGTTGGTTAAGGATGAAGATACCTTCAGCTCAGGTCACGATCCCAGGGTCCTGGGATTGAGTCCCACATCAGTTCCCTGCTCCCTGCTCAGTGGAGAGTCTGCTTCTCCCTCTGCCTGCTGTTCCCCCTGCTTGTGCTCGCTCTCTTTCTCTCTTCTGACAAATATATACGATCTTTAAAAATATAAAAAATTAAAAAAATAATAAAAATAGATTCTGTTTGTGATGGTTACATTAATTTTATATAAGGGGAAAGAATAGGCCAATATATGATTTTCTTTTTATTTTACTTAATTTTTTAAATATATTTTATTTTTAAGTCATCTACACCCAATGTGGGGCTCAAACTCTCAACCCTATCAAGAGTTGCATGCTCCGGGGCGCCTGGGTGGCTCAGTTGTTAAGCGTCTGCCTTTGGCTCAGGTCATGATCCCAGGGTCCTGGGATCGAGCCCTGCATATTTGAGGGGCGCGTGGGTGGCTCATTCGGTTGAGCATCTGCCTTCGGCTCAGGTCATGATCTCCAGGTCCTGGGATCGAGCTCCGCATCGGGCTCCCTGCTCAATGGGAACCTGCTTCTCTCTCTCTCTCTCTCCCTCTGGCCCTCCCCACCGCTCGTTCTCTCTCTCTCTCTCTCAAATAAATAAAATCTTAAAAAAAAATAAAAATAAAAAAATAAAACATATTTGAGTTCCTACTATGTGTCAGGCACTATGCTGTGTGCTGCGTTCTGAGACTATGGCAATAAATGGCACAGACAAGGCCCTTCACCTCCCAGAATTCTGTACATGTTTAAGAAACTTCATGGAAAAATTTGAAGCAGTTTGAAAATCATGAATTAGATCATTTATTAAATTCCTTTTTTATTTTGTATCTTTCTCTTTAAAAGGTAGTTATAGATAGTTAAGAAATAAGTATATATATTTTTAAGATTTTATTTGTTTTAGAGAGAGAGAGGGAAGGAGGGTGCATGTACTGGGGGAGAGGGGCAGAGGGAGAG